CAGGCTTCCCAGGTACATCTTCTTCGAACTTCCATGTTGTGTTCGACGCAGGCGCAAATGCTTCTTCGCCATACATTGCGTATGTTGTGGGCTTCGACAAGCATTGCAATGCTTCTGAACGAGGTGCCAGTTGTGGATGGTCCAACCCTTTGGGGCCACCATGCGCACAGACGCTGTCCATTTTGTTGAGAAAGGCTCCGAGCACCGCTCTTGCTACAAGGTCATGCGTAGCATCACCAGGGTGCACCAACTGAAATGGATCTCCAGTGTGCATGCCACCGAACCACCACTCCCGAGGTGATGCTGATTTTGAGCTGCAAATTGCTACATGAAACACACTGTCGGGATAGCAAGCTTTCCCAGAACGTCCCAGTGATTATAATATGCCCGCGTACTGAAATTGCTGCATTCTGGAAGTTGGGAGTCAAGGTTGTTGAACGTCTCAACAGCATCACTGCTGGACGATTCTCCATGTCGATCAGTAGAGCCATCAAGTCAGTAAAACTCTCTCGGACGTCATTGTTTCTCCGCTTGCCTACTGCTTTTCCGTTGTCACTGACCGCACAATCCACAATCGCCAGGTGAGAGTTGTCCAACCCTTTTTGACTCAGATCTTGAATGCTGCGGGCCGCCCACTCTGAAGTTGTTGCAGGAGGGGCTATATTAAGATCTGTCACATTGCAGCCAAGTGACTGCAAGAAATGTTCTGAACACCTTTGGCCGTGGCGCGTGTGCGCCGTGCCCGTGAGTCATCGAGCCGCCGAGGACACCGATGACGAGCTGATCTCCGCGAAGGAGGCGATCGACAGCCAGCTGAAATCGTTTGTCGGCGCCTTGACTAGAGGGTCGAAAATCCACCCCGACAATAACCACCCCGACACGCGAGGCCTTTAGTAAACGCGCCCAAAGAAGGAATCGAACAAGGCAAGGCTGTTTAGTAAACGCCCAAGGCCGTTTAGTAAACGCCAACTGTCCGGTCCGGGTGGTTTCCCCCCCTCGATTGACGCCCTCTTGGTGCCGACGCCGCTCTGATGCTCTCACGAACCAGAGGGAATACTTTGCCATCCCAGATCGGCGAAAGGGGGATGCGTTCGGAAAAGAACTGCGATGTGGAATCACACTCCGGTTTCATAGCCCGCTCCCCGCTCTCCGCGGGCGCTGTTCCCTCGCCACAAATTAGATTGTTGTTGGGAATCCGGTTGCGGAAACGGCCATTGGTCATGCACAAACTTTCTGCAAAACCAAAAAAAAAACAATGACAACGCAACTTTCGTGGACATCGTGCGCGCGGTGAAGGATTTGGCGGTGGGCATGGGTGATCAGCGCGGGTTGGCGGAATGGTGGCCCTTTCACAAAGGAATTGAGCCCGAACTTGAGCCAAATGGCTACGGAAAGGTCTTTGAAGGATGTTGGCATTTGCTTCTTTTCGGCCGTCCGAAGACCTCAAGACGGCCCAAGAAGCCCCCAAGATCGCCCCAAAATCACTCACGAGGCCTCCAAGATGGCCCCATGACGGCCCAAGAAGCCCCCAAGGAGGCCCCAAGAGGGCCCCAAGACGGCCCAAGAGGCCCCCTAAGACGCCCAAGATGGCCTCCAAGACGGACCCGAAGCGCCCCAAGAGGGCCCCAAGTCGGTTCACAGAGGCCCCCAAGACGGCTCCCGACGGCGTCAGACGGGCCAGGAACGCTATATGACGACCAAAGAAGCCCCCGAGAAGCCCCAAAAGAGCCCCAAGAGGCCCTCAACAGGCCCCAAGAGAGCCCAAGATAGCCCCAACATGGCCTCCAAGACGGTTCCAAGATGGTCCAATCGAGCCACAAGAGTGCCTCAAGAGGCTCCGAAGCGGCATCCTCCCCCTTCTCCTTTTCCCTTCTTCTCCTCCTCCTCCCCTTCCTCCCCCCGTGTTCCCCGAAACCTTTGCAAACCGACTCGGGGAACACATGGTCCGATAGCTTGGCCAAGCTCTAGCCCAGCTGTCGGACACATAAGCGCTTCCACAAAGGCAGGGGGCGGCGGTGATTCGCCGTAGGCGTCTTCGATCCGCCGCCCCCTGTCGATTCATCGCTGGGATCCCTGGAGTGCTAGACCCTTTCGGTTTTGATGTTAGTTCTTTTTCCAAAAGAACTCCCCCTGGGGCTTCGGCCCGTCCCGCCGGCCACCCGGAAAATTCTTCCGACTTGCCCAGAGGTGGTTGCCAAGGGTTTTTCCTGCTCCAGACGCCTCCAAGAGGGCCAACATGGCCTCCAAGACGGCTCAGATGGCCCCAAGATGCCTCCAAGATGGCACAAGATGCATCCAAGACGGCCTAAGATAGCCTCAAGATGGTTCAAGACGGCCCAAGAGGCCCCCGAGAGCCCCCCAAGATGCCTCCAAGAGGTCCTCAAGGAGGGCCCGAAGAGGCCAAAATCATTGGTTGGTCTCAGGTCTTTGAAGGATGTTGGCATTTGCTTCTTTTCGGCCGTCCGAAGACCTCAAGACGGCCCAAGAGGCCCCAAGATCGCCCCAAAATCACTCACGAGGCCTCCAAGATGGCCCCATGACGGCCCAAGAAGCCCCCAAGGAGGCCCCAAGAGGGCCCCAAGACGGCCCAAGAGGCCCCCAAGAAGCCCAAGATGGCCTCCAAGACGGACCCGAAGCCCCCCAAGAGGGCCCCAAGTCGGTTCACAGAGGCCCCCAAGACGGCTCCCGACGGCGTCAGACGGGCCAGGAACGCCATAAGACGACCAAGCCCCCGAGAAGCCACAAAAGAGCCCCAAGAGGCCCTCAACAGGCCCCAAAAGAGCCCGAGATAGCCCCAACATAGCCTCCAAGACGGTCCCAATATGGTCCAATCGAGCCCAAGAGTGCCTCAAGAGGCTCCGAAGAGGCATCCTCCCTCCCCGAAACCTTTCCTAACCGACTCGGGGAACACATGGTCCGATAGCTTGGCCAAGCTCTAGCCCAGCTGTCGGACACATAGGCGCGTCCACAAAGACAGAGGGCGGCGGTGATTCGCCGTAGGCATCTTCGATCCGCCGCCACCTGTGTGCTTGCCACAGGGGTGCCCGGCGTGCTAGACCCTTTCGGTTTGGGTTTTGGCTTTTTTCCAAAAGAACTCCCCCATGGGGCTTCGGCCCGTCCCGCCGGCCACCCTGAAAGGCGCACAGAGATGCACAACAGGTGATTACAAAGGGTTGGTCGGCTCCAGACGGCTCCACGATGGCCTCCAAGATGGCCAAGATGGCACAAGATGGCCTCCAAGTTCGCCCAAGATGGTCCAAGATAGCCTCGAAGACGGCCCAAGAGAGTCCAGGATGCCTCCAAGCTCGCACAAGAAACACCTACGACGGCCCAAGACGGCCCCAGAGGCCGCCAAGAGGCCTCCAAGACGGCCCACGAGGCCTCGAAAGGTCCTCCAGGGTCCTCAAGGATGGCCCGAAAAGGCCAAAATCATTGATTCCCCCTTGGGTTTTCGAAGGATTTTGGCTTCTGCTCCTTTTTGGCCTTCCGACGGCCCAAGACTGCCCAAGGGGCCATCAAGATCGCCCCAAGAGTGTAGTAAAAGAAGCCTCCAAGACGGCCCCGGGACGGCCCAAGAGGCCCCCAAGACGGCCCAAGAGGCCTCCAAGAAGCCCCAGATGGCCTCCAAGACTGCCAAGATGGCCTCCAAGATGCCTCCAAGACGGCCAAGATGGCCTCCAAGACGGCCAAAATGGCCCCAAGATGCACCCAAGACGGCTCTAGATGGCCTCAACTTGGCCTTAGACTGCCCAAAGGGCCCGCAAGAGGGCTCCAAGATGGCACAAGAGCCCTCCATGACGTCCTCCAGCATGTCCCGAAAGGGTCAAAATGGCCTCCAGACGGCCAAGATGACCTTCAAGATGCCTCCAAGACGGACAAGATGGCCTCCAAGACTGCGTAGATGGCCCCAAGATGCACCCAAGGCTGCCCAAGATGGCATCAAGATGGCCTAAGACAGCCCAAAAGACCCGCTAGGGGCCTCCAAGACGGCCCAAGAGCTCTCCAAGACGTCCTCCAGGAAACCCGCAAGCTCGGAAACCACCTGGTCCGATAGCTCGCCCGACTCCGTGTTCCCCGAAAGCTTTCGAAACCCACTCGGGGAACGCGTGGCCCGATAGCTTGGCCAAGCTCAAGCACAACTTTCGGCCACGCAGGCACTTCCGAAAAGGCATGGGGCGGCGGCGATTCGCCGTAGGCGTCTTCGATAAGGAAAAAGAATCGGGCCAGGAGGCAGCAAGTAGGAGGACCCCCCCATCCAGCTCATCGCCCGCGCGCCTTGAGCAGGTCCCGGCTCCTTCCCCAGGGTATGGGCGTTCGCCACAGATCCAATATGATGGCCCCTGGACTCCGGCAACACCAACAAACAAGCAAACAAACAAACAGACACGGAGCCCAAAATGAAGAAAAAACTCCATGGGATTGACACGACTGTCACCTGGAGGTGTGGGTCCCAGTCCCCCCCTCTGGAAGAAACAGGGGCTGCACAAACGGAAAACCCTCGCAGCCCCGCGCGGACCTCCGACCTGTTCGACACGGGCTGCTCTTCTTCGGCTCCCTCCTCGGTGACTCGGTGATGCAGACGAGCTCGCGCCGGAGCGCCGATGCCCTCGAGCCGCCCCCCCGGCGACCTGCGAGAGGGGGAGGGCGAACGGAAACCAGGAGCCAAAAGGAGAGAAGGAGGACAGACGGAAGGCCGACACGACGAGGCGCCCCAGGAGAGAAAAGAGGAGGTGGTCCTCCTCCTCCTCGTCTCCCTCGTCCTCCTCGTCCTCGTCCTCCGCGTCCTCCTCGTCCTCCTCGTCGTCCTCGTCGTCCTCGTCCTTTTCGTCCTTTTCGTTATCCTCCTCCTCCTCCTCCTCCTCCTCCTCCTCCTCCTCCTCCTCCTCCTCCTCCTCCTCCTCCTCCTCGTCGTCGTCCTCGTCCTCCTCCTCGTCCTCGTCCTCCTCCTCGGGCCGGTGGCGCCCGACTTCCTCCTGCGGCTCGCCCGCCCGCCCGCCCGCCTTGAGGAGGTCTCCGCCCTTCCGCTTCGGCGGCTCGCCGCCCTTCGGCCGGGGCGGCAGAGGCTCCAGCCCGGGCGCGAGCAGCAGCGTGGCCTTCTGGGCGGCGGCGGGGCGGCCGTGCGGCTTGGTCGGCTGCAGCTCCTCGGTTCTGGGGCGGAGGGCACGGGCCTCCAGCGTCTCGAAGAAGTCAGGACGCTGGTCGGGAGGGAAAGAAACACACAGACACAATTCATCGTCGATCCCCCAGAAAAGATGGGAAAATATGGGAAGTGGGGGGGAAGACAAGAATCCAAAAAAATATGGGAAAATATGGGGAATCCTTCTATTTGTGTGTATCTATTTGTGTGTCCCGGGGCCCCTTGAGCTGGGGGAGGCCCGAGGATCAAGGAGGGCGGCCTGAAGAGAGGGGGAAGCCCGGGTCTGAGAAGGCAGTGTGCAGGAGGTGCCACTGTAGGGGGACCAGCTCAGCGGGGAAACATCGAGCTGGAATCGGCGATGCATCGCCGATAGATCGGTGATAGACCCCCGATAGCGAATCCGCACATCCATGGGCGGGGATGTAGGCTATCGGGCTCCTGTCGGCGATGAATGGGCGATTGGGGCTCGATGCATCCCCCACTGAGCCTATCCCCTCCTATCGTTGCCCCCGAGGGCTTCTGAGAAGGCGAGAGCCTTCTCTGAAGGGCCCAGAGGCTTCTACGAAGACTCCCCAGCTCCTCGGGGATCGAGAAAGAAGAAGAGGAAGAAGACGAATCATAATAATAAGAGTCAGAATAAGATGAAGAAGAAGGAGAATCCTGACCTCCAACGTCTTGAGGAAACAAGATGGTGTGTTTCGCGAGTATCCTCCTCGGGCCGTTTTCGGGCACTTAGGGGCATCAAAGACGATCCAGGATGCAAAACATGTCCCATCTAGGACTAAGAAGGAGAAGGATAGATCGGAAGAGACCAAGTCCAGCTTGAAAGCTCCCACCAGGAGGCCCATCAGATGGTGCCGCTCGGCTGCGCTGTCTCCGACTACACTTGCTCCAACGGGACCCGCCGGAACGTGCTGAGAAGAGTCTGTGGGAAAAAACACACAGTGGGAAAAAGCACACACTGTGGGAAAAACACACTGTGGGGAAAAAAAACACTGTGGGAAAAAAACACACTGTGGGAAAAAACACACTGTGGGAAAAAAAACACACACTGCTTTGTGTATTGTGTGTTTTGTGTTGTTGAGTCGCCTGAATCGAGCATGGAATCGATCGAGGATCAATCGAACCTGGACTGCGTGCGTAATCTGGCGCACGCCTGTCTGCCTGAGGCACACGAAGCCTCCGCAGGCCACCCTCCAATTGGGGGCGAAGAGGTGGGGGTACAGTCGGGCCGCTGAAGAAGGAACCCTTGTCGTTGGGGAGGGGCTCGGTGTTCCTTGATGGTTTTACAGTTTGCCCTGCGTTTTCCTTAGGCTTTCCATGGGGAATCGAAGTTGAACTGATGGGAAAAAAGGGGCCTCGTTTCTTATTTTGGGTTCCTTAGGTCAACGCCCGAACTGTAGAGCAGAGGGCCCCAGGGGGGAAGGAAGTCTGAGCAGACACCTGGGCTCGTTCCCTTTTCTGTTGTTCCTCTCCCCCCTCTCGCCCCCCCTGGAGCAGTCAGTCCGAGCCAGTCTCGTGCCACCGCCAGCCCCCAGCAGCCCGTGCTGTGCGGCGACGGAGAGGGGGGAAGTAGAGGGCAGAAAACCCACCCCGAGAATAACCACCCCGAGACGCGAAGCCGCTCAGTAAACGCACCCAAAGAAGGAATCTAACAGGGCAGGGCTGTTTAGTAAACGCCCAGGGCCGTTTAGTAAACGCCCATTGTCTGGTCTGCGTGGTTTTTCCTCCCTTGAGAAAGGGAACGCGAGGCAAGCAGACGACGACGACAAACGCGCAGGCGGGAGGCCAGGGCCGGCGGGACTGAGCAGGCGGGCCGGCGGGCGGGAAGTGACAGAGGGGAGACAGCAAGCAGGGAATAAGGGAGGAGAACGGGAGGGGAGGAAGCAAGCAGGGAGCAGGGGAGGGTTCATTCCCTAACCCAACCTTGGGATACCCCCTCCTCTGGGCACCCCGGTCACGCGGGCCTTCCAAGTGTGGCTCGAGTAGATGGGGCCAGAGGATCGCGCCGCATCGCCAACGCATCGCCGATGCATCACATCGGCAATGCATCGGCGCAGTTGGCATGCTCCGCATCGAGCCGTATCGCCAATGCATCGGCGATGCGGCGCGATCCTCCGACCACATCCACTCGGACCCGATTTGGGAGGCCTGGACCTACGTGCCCCGATCCAGGGAAGTCCCTCGACCTGAGGCCGTCTGGACCTCCACAGGCCTCGGGAACAGGATCGACGCAGGACCTTCGGAGGACTCTGGACCTGTGTTGGGCCGCCTTCGGCGCCCCCATCGACCCACGGCCCTGGACCCACCTCCAAACCAAATTCTTACCAGAACGCACGGGCCCTTTCCGAGGAGGACCCAGA